TTGGTACCTTAAAAGTCCTTGTTAGGAGTCAGATTGATTAAAAGAAGCAAAAGCAAAGAGAGGGCGTGGACTCAGCCAAACTTTAAAACAATTCCGAAGTGGCCTGTTTTATTTAAAAATACTGAAAGCAATTATTTTGCAAATTGTTTGCTTGCAAACCGAAAAAAAAATTTAGGGAAGGGGCAACGGAAAAGTATTTAACAGAGATCTTAGTTGTCATTCGCTTAGATCAAATCTCCGATGAAAAGGTTAGCAGGTTTCCAACAGGTTATAAGATCAAACCTAAACGTGTCCACATGGTACAGAAATAACACAAAACGTGACTTACAAACTGAAGTGGGCTTAACTGTTTATAGGCAATAGCCATGTAGTCTAGCTTTTTTACGTCGTTGAGTTAAATATATGCCGAGGGTTGTATGCAAATCTGATGTTTGTTTTGGTAACAATTATTCTTTAGATGGTTTCCTCGTAATTATCTTTTCATCGTGGAGAAGAAAGGAGACCTTTTATCCATCTATTGTCTTTTTGTCCAAAAAACAACTTTCAGTGCATAGCAGAAAATAGCGTTCATTTGTTAAGGACGGAAAGGCGTCGATGTTGACATTCTTAAAATATTAAATTGTCCTCCTTGACTTTTCAGTATTACAAGCGTTGCCAGCAATGGTGAATTTCAGTGGAAAGAAGGATTCGATCTGATGAACTTTGGTTTCGAACTCGATTCCAATCCCCTGAAGATTGACTTGTCAGGCGCTGCACACAGTCACGTTGACCGTATGAATCAAACTTCTAATCGTGTTAGTTCTTGCAGCTCCTCGAGAAGCTCTGAATTCCAGGCCGTGTTGGAAGCTTTATCCGACTACAAAGTAAACGAACCAAGTACAAAAGGAAATGACAGCTCTGCGACTTGTTCCAACGAAAAAGGCGACTCGGGACAGCAAAGCTTAGTGGATTCATCAAGTGGTAGTGCAATAAGTAAGTTCAATCGAGCGCCTCCAATGTTGACGCGTCGCAAGTCTCTTCCATCTCTTGGCCTTGTGGCCGTAGACGTGCAGTACAGTGTGCCAAGTTCAAAATCATTTCCCGGTGACTTATCTAAGAATATTGCTGGGAAAGAGTTAGATGTTATACTAGAAACTCCCAGGAAAGGAAAACAAAAGCCTCATCATTTAGCAAATATACTGACAAGGCCAGAGGGTCGGAGGCGTCGGTTCTCACTTGGTGCCCAAGGTAATGAGGCCCCATCAAAAAGCCGCACAGGTGTTCCTAAAACGAAGCAAAGAAGACCATCTTGTTCGAAATTTGCCGAAAGCCCGTCTGTTTGGCGCGTGCAGGTGCACAAAAGGAGCCTGGACATTAATGACGAAGACGATAGGTTATACTCCCGTTTTCAAACTCGTCGAGGCAGTTTCGCAGGATTTTCTACAGTTGCAGATCAATCAGAAAAAAAACAAAGTTTACTTCCAAAAATTGGGAGAAGAAATTCACTCGTGCAAAACGATGATGAAGAATGAACGATGTTTCACGAATGAATTTAAACTAAATATTGTAGCGAAAAAATTCTGATCCGACTTGTAGCGATTATATTTCGTTTAATTAGCTGGCGACTTTCTTAAGTATCATTGTCAAGGTATGTCACAAACCGAGTTTGACAGTTGTTCTTTCTCACTTCAGCTACCAGGCCAAGATTATTGAGCCGAGTATAGTCGTCAGCTACCAGGCCAAGATTATTGAGCCGAGTATAGTCGTCAGCTAAGAACAATAGTTCAGGGCTTTGTATGGGAAATAAATGCTTATTGTAATTAGCGCATTAAATTTGCTGTCTGAAAAATTTACAAGTGACTATTTATAACAAATTGCACAAGAAATCATATATGTGAAAGAAAGAAGACAGAATATCTAAATTAGTAAAATCTTGACATTGCACACCCTCACATCAGTATATATATTCTCCATACTGTTCCCTATACTTTTCCTTAGGAACTGATAAGGAGAATTTGTTTGACAATCATGAGCTTCTTTAGTTGGTGATCATTTCCTAGATCCTCGTGACTTAGGAGTGATGATGTAAGGAGAAGTTAGATATCAGTCACTCTTTGAGGTCAAAGGGTTAATTTCAAATGAGGTTCATTTGATTGTTTTAACAAAGTTATCTTCTTTGACCATGAAACCTCGGATTGTATGAAAACTCGATTGTTGTTTTGAAACCTAAGGTGCACGCTTTAGGCGTGATCAGTTTGTAATGAATTTGGACTCGTGCTCTTCATCGAAGAAAAAAAAACTCCTTTTTTTCCAGGAAACCTTCTCCAACCGTCCCAGAAGAAATCAAAACACTATTTATCGCGTGTAACAAATAGGAAAAAAAAGTAATCAGTGTACGTCTTGTACGTGTTATACAAACAATTGTGTACAAGCTAATATAAACCCTCTTAGAATTTCAGTCACGTTGCTCTAAGGCTTCAGAAGAATGGCTTGTTTTGTACTATTAAAACCATTCTACCCTTTGTTTGACCGTGAACCATTATGTGGAGTCTCTGTGGATAGAGTCATGCAACGAAACTTAAATGAATTCGATATGGTTTGCGCTCTTTGGTCCTCACCCTTAGTCTCCGACGGGAAAGAACAAAATTTTTTCTGAATACTGCGCTTAACAATGAAAACCATGTGCATAGATTTTCATTATTCCTTAGCAGAGAGAGAAGTTTCATACAGGCCCTGGGATGAATTGCGCAATTAAGCGATGAACCAAAACCCGACAGCATGTCTTCTTTCGCATACTCTGTGGGTAAAATCTGGAATGAAACTTCAAGAATATTGCGGGAAACGGGAATGTTTTCTAAAACGTACATTATGGATAAAAGTCGTTCGTGCGCTATCGTACCTCTCTGGTATCGATAGAAAATACAAATGCACTTTGCACGCATGACGGGTTACTTATTGTTTTTCCTTTGTGCGCTGTCCTGTAAATCAGTTAGTTAAGCTTATTAATCACAGCTCGTCTACTTTGGTGAACAGCTGGTCGGGTAATCAGACCTTAACAAAGGTATCGCAAAAGGTCGAAAGATCAATACCGATAGTCTTTTACCTTATAAAAACAAACAAGACGTCTTGTTTTGCATGAAAGAAAGTTCTAACTTCGTCTAACCACTACATGTTCCCAATCTTGAGTTTCTCGTGTTTTGAGACGATTTTGAAACGAAGTGAGGTCACTTCATTACGATTGAGAGATATTAAGAAATGGATGACAGGCACAAAACATTGAGGGAGCTGGCTTCAGCTTTTGAAACAAGACATGAAAAAGTTCTAGTCCAGCTCAAAGAACTTGACGGAGTAACAGCCAGTGCGAATTCAGAAACCTATGCAGAGATTGACTTAGGGTTTAGAAATTATGGAGATAAAACCCCTAGACGCCATTCATGCCAAGGAAATCTCTTCGGTCATGCAATTTTGTCAAGAACAGCATCTGATGGACCAATGTATGATTCAGGAAGAAGTTCATTAGTGGTCCACCAGCACTTTCCAGTTCTGGCCTCATCAAAACTTCCAAGGATTCCTGTAAGGAGAATGTCAAGTGATCATGCTGGGAGCAGGCAAGATTTTGCCCAAATTCAGGAGAGTTTTACGAATTTCAACAATGCTCAGAAAATTGCTCAGTCAGAGTGCAATCTTATGAATGTGCGCGACCTAAGTCATACATCATTGAAAAGAGGTAGTTTTCCTCGAGAACAAGATAGGTCCTTTGGCTATCAGCGCGCACCAGAGGAGGATGGCCCAAGAAGACGAAGGGCGAGTTGGTGTTCAGCAGGAAGAAAGCCTAGACCAAGTAGTTGTCAGGACATGTCGAGGTGGCGAACCAGGCTACACAGGAGAACTCTGAACATAGAAGATGACGATAACGATGACAATGACGATGATTATCGGGAGCCTAACAGGTCAAGAAATAATTCAAGTTCGTCTGGATTTTCGAGTATGTCAAGTCTTTTCTAACTTTGGAAAGTGAAATGGATGGGTTAACCACATATAACTTTCCAGTAAGCATGGTGAAACAGGAGAGTAACAGTCATGCTGGCACCCACGATTAACCTCTGGGTTTTGTGACTGATGTCTTCCGAGCAGATGACTGTATGTCACTGAAACAGAATGAGAAAATTTTTGATCTCGTTTTTTTTAATCTTTCGTATAATCCCGTAAAGCAGAGAGAACTTTTAGAACCTGGAAAGTGGTTCACAATCTCGAGGTTTAAGTTAAGTTTTGAGCTTCGCGATTAATCGATGTCAATTGGGGATCGGTTCATTCAGAACCTGTTAGGGAAGATTATACTTAAGGCGATATCTGATGGAGACTAATTTTACATACGGAAACATATAGTGATGAGGACGACTCGAGGTTAAAACCAACATCGAAAACTCCATTGTCATGCAAATATTTTGTAAATGTCATAACCTCTTGGAGTCAAAGAAGAACTTTTTCTGACCAACGTAGATCTGTAGTTACCATGGTGGCAATATTATCGGTACGAACGCAGAGATACATATCCTGAAAGTGGGTACCAATGTATAACACTGACTGAGAGTATAAAAGAAAAGCTTAAATAAATTTCTTTTTAAGTTTAATGGACATAAATCTACTTGCTTTCACTAAGACCAAGTTTAGGTACAGATGTACACATGACTGTGTCTGACGATATTCCAGATAAGGAAGGTTATCAATGGTTTTGATTGTGAGCAATTAATTGCAATATTTTAACTCTCTCCTGAATGAATCTACCCATTCGTTACTGCTTGAAAAGTTCTTTTATAGGCATTCAAAATGGCCTGAAAAATCTAAGAATAAAAGTCCTCCTTAGCAAAGAATTAAGTCTCCAAAGATAATTATTTAATAATTCTCAAAATGAGATATCTTTTTGAATGATCAGCAATGCCAAGTGCCTTTCACGTCCTGTAAGTTTCAACCAGTATCCAGTTATAATTTAAGTCTCTGTTGTGGTTTTTGTCATTTACCAGCTAACGGTGTTGCATAATGTACACTTCATGTAAGGAACCATCATCTTTCTCATCCTCCCCAATGTTCACACTCTCGCCTTTCCCTTCCCGGACTTCTTCCTCGCAATTTTCCTCGAAGCTGTTCATGGAGGTGGGCTCGAGGCTTCCCGTTGTCCATGTGTTCAAACGAACAGAAAGCGAGTCTGAACTTCGACGCAAAGGGGCCCATCTTGAATCGCTCCCTGATATGTTCGAAACTGGTCGACTACCTGGTAGTTCAATTCGACTTTCAGGCCTCATTTCGTCCTCTTTCACTTGCTTTGCCTGATATTCATCCTCCATCTTGTTAAGGAGCTTTTTAAACGCGCAATACGCCTTCGACAAGCCGCTAATTGCATTGTTATTGTTGTTCTTTTTCTCATGAATGTCTTGTACATGAGTGGACCATGCGTTACCATCAAGGTGTAGCTTGTCACCTTTGTTGTTCTGACTTTCCAATTTTATACTCGCTCGGGATTTAAGTGTTGGTCTCGCAGTCGAAGCAGGAGTATCAGACGAGGTCTTTCTTTGAACTGAAGGACTTTCCACCGTCGAATCATTTCCTCCAAAACGCACGGCCTTACTTTGTTTTTTCTGATCATCAGGCCCAACATTCTGCTTTTTCAAAGCCCATATTCCTGCCTTAACTCTCTGAGTGGCAGCTGGCATTCGAATATCGTCATACCTACTAAACTGCACCAGTGCAGTCTTCTTTTTACCCAATTTACGTTCATTCTTTTCGTTTGAAGACCTAGAACTCTGGCTTATCTTTCTGCCTGCTTTAGTTTTCGCCTTGTCGCTTGACTTGTCATCGAGCGTTTGCAACTGACTCTCGTATTGGAAAGCTTCTTCATCAAAAATATCTTCGTCGTCATCATTTTCCTCAATGGTTCGAAAAGCCTTACGGCGACAACACTCGCATCTTTTTAATACGTTAACATTAATCGAACGAAGTTCCTTCACGGACTTGCATTTGTGACCATTGCCAAGATCTGCCTCTTTTGATTTCTCCCCAAAACTAGCTTGTGAATGTTTCTTTTGAGGAGCGGATGTCGAGGACAGAACATCTGTCCCTTGTTGAGCCCTGATTGCTCTCTTGGAATGGAAAATATGCGCGAGTTCTTTATAAAGCTGGTTTTTTTCCGTGTAGGACTCCTTTAAGTAAGAACATCGCTCCCTCTCCACCTGTTGCTGAATCAAAGAAATTCGTCGCCCTGTCTGACGAAAAATTCGGAACACATCTTCACTCATCGAGGTAGATCTCTTTAAATTCGCATTTTTCTGAATTTGAAGAAAGGCAATCGAGCTCTGTAAAGCTGTATCTCGAGAAGCCATCACAAAACTATAACGTGGTTTTCCGCAATGAGATCAAAATCTTTAAGTACTGTTCGTACAGCTCTGTGATTTATTTTTCCGTGCGCTCTTCAAAAGTTCCTTGAAAATATAAAATTAAACCTCATGTTTGCTTTAAGATATCACTTTCAAGTTGCATTTGCACGGATGTTCTCAGACTTCTTCAAGTTGTGGCTTCTTTAAACTTTCTTTGTTTATAGTTCCGTTGTTGAGAGCCTCTTAAAGAATGCCAAAATAAAGCAAATTATGCAAAAGGCACACTGGTGCAAGAAGACTATTTTAAAGACATATTCTTGGTCTACATGTAGTTTCTTTATCAATTTTCAGCGTTCGTGGAATCTTAATAATTTCCGAAATACTGCACCAATGTTTTTTGAACATGACTTCTTCCAAATTGATGAGTTTACTCACAGATCAATGAATTCAAATGATGCAACCATAAGTGATTCCCAAAGGAGTATCATACTGATGAAAAACGGCTTAATGAAGGATTAAATGAGATTAATAGAAGAGACATTGTAAGCTTTGAGGACACGTTTTCTTTGTCTTCTGCCCATCTTTGTTCGATTGGCGCTTACGGTAACCATAGCTACAAGTCAACTATTCCGCAAGACACAAAACAATTTACATACACGAATTGCTCATAACTGCAAAAGGTAAACAAAACAGGAAAATATTGACTCGGTTAAAGTACGCTCGTGCATTATGGACCATGAGCGGTACCAGTCAGTTCTTTATTGAAATACCAACATATGTGTAACGTTCCATGATCTCTATCCAACGGTGAGTTAGCTCTTTTATAAACAAATACTTCATTGAATCAAAACGAGATTAAAGAATGAAATACCCATATCAAAATCTTTATATCAAATAACGTCCCTTTTTCTGTTATGTTGATATATGACTAAAAAAAAGAGGGTATAACTGAAAATTTTTGAAACGACATCCGAATCAAGGTTGGAAAAAATTTTGAGAACTAAACTTTTTTTTGGTTTCGTTGAGACAAGAAGTTGTGACTAATATATGTATTTTATAGTACTCATTTATTGGTCTCACTCTCTATCCTCTCTTGTCTATGATCAATTGAATTTCAGGCCCATGCAAGCTTAGAGTTTGAACAAGCGTATCATTTATTCAAAAATTCTGAACAATAGAAAAAAAATCTGGAAAACCAATCTGGTTTTATCTGCTTTACTGAATTTTGTTGTTGTTCACCATCATCTTAAATAGTTTTTAACTGCTCTAAATGAAGAAAGAATCGTTTTAGATCAAAACAGTTAAGAAGAAAGATCGAAATTACTTACTTTTCAAGGAACCTTTAGCACCAATCTAATCAACTGATAAGAACTGAATTCTTGCGATTTCAATTTCTAGTGTTTACCACACAACAGACGACATAATCCCCCAAAAGGTACCGACTATATATCATTCCAATAAAAGATGAAAAAGACAATGAAAGCTCTTTGGTTAATTACTTTATTTAGCTTTCAAACTAAGAAGTTATTTTCTTTTGTTGAATTAGACTTGATAGAACACACGAAAACAGCAAGCAAATACAGCCGCTGGAATCAATTGTGTTCAGCAAGAAAAGTAAATAATTATAACTATTGAGTGAACGATACAGAGTGGTATATGTTCAATTGAACGAAAGGAACTGAAAGCCAAGAAGCGCGTGTTAGCGAGATTATGGTGTCCAGAATTGCTTCCAATTGCTGAAAGATCCAAAATCGTCAGAACAATAACATAAGCAGACAATGAAACAAAGGGTAATGAACTGTACAAACATCAAGGGAAAGCTATTTACACAAACATAAAGATTGTGTGTATGTGCTGCGTGTGCTCTTGCAGCTGCACTTTACAAATATCTTCCTCTATGGAATCTTAACACTGTTTAGCAACAGTTCCAAGATACTCAACGGGTTTGAGTTATCTTGGCTAGTATATAAGACGGGTATGCAAGGTGTAAGCACACGTAAATGAGATGTCAAACCGGCGTAGTTCTACTCTCTGCCTTTTGAAAGTGACTAAGCAGTTTTGAACTATACTTTACAGAATACGCCAGTTGGTATAATGCCTTCTGGTGACTATTCCGGAAAAGAAAGGCAATCCGTGTATGAGAAAGCTTTGGTAATAAGCCACGAAGGAGAAAAAAAGTTATCACTTCTCAAGAAAGATCTGGACCGCTCCAAATTACAAACGTACATCTCTTACAAGCTTGAAGAGCGAGAACTACGGAAGGAATTGTTTCGAATCAAACGAGAACAAATCAGTCTGGCGAAAGAAGCAAAACAGCGACAGAGAGACAACAAAAGTATTGATGACATCGCAAAAGAAATAAAGGTTACAAATCCTGGAAACAGAGGTGCTACAGCTATCCAGCTTGAGAAAAAGTTCTCTTTACCGCATATAAACTGCACGCAAAAAAATGTGCCAATGATTTTGCGTCGAAAGTTGTCACACGAGTCTGAATATTTCACGTGGACGTTTGGGCTTCCAACAGTTGAAAATGCAGTGAAAGCTTTGAATCCGTCGGACGGCGATCAGAAGAAGAAAGGAAAAGGGGAAAGTAAAGCAACATGTGATGGCGACGGAAGTGAAGGGAACGACAGTGCAGGAAGAGCTCGAGCGAATACAATTCACCGCATCGTGTACAACGTTCCTGTCTCTGAGCGAAGGAAAGACAACTCCAGCCTGCCTCCTATTAATGCAAAACTTCCGAAAATTGATCCAGATAAAGGAACCGTCTCCAATGGCAAATCTGCTGACCACTTGAAATTGCCAAAAATTTAATTAATATAAAGGTTTTATAAAATGGAACAGTTGATGACTAGAAGCTGTTGTTGTTGTTGAAGGAGGAACTTTCCTTTAAAATGACTGATTTTGGGTAGATAAAAAATCCTGCTATCATAGCGGTTTTGCCGTAGAAGATTGGATATGACCTCGTGGCACACAAATGTCACGCGTTACCTAAGTATCTGATCCACACATGAGGGTCTTTCTGTTCCCGCAAAAGTTCAGTGAACAAGAAAGTCCTCACAACACCCGTTTATGTAAAGAATCTGAAAGAAGGGATCTTGAGAAATTGAACCCAGTGATTTTTTTTTTGTGTCAACCATTATGTAAGATATGAACATTGACCCAATGTAAAAAGTAAAATTATGGACCAAAACGTTTTTGTTTCAGCTGATTCCATTTTATTCTTCTTATTACTCCTAATGTGTGATTTCAAGACAGGTCAATCCGAGCTCAGCGCGGCCTGGGCTTCAGGTTCTAAAATCTGCATTTAAGATCAAACCTCAGGTGAAATACCTGCAGCAACCTCTCTTATTAGCGTCCGAGGTGCTTTTATCAGTTTATATATTTAGGTCAGAACCGGGACACTTTGGAGGGTTTTGCTTAATTATATAAGTCACAACAAAAGTTACCTGACTCTCTCATACGGCTCTGTAGTAATCCAATGATCTGGCCTCATTGGCAGCTGCAATTTTCATGTTCCCCTGACTCCCTCCCATGCATATAGGGGTTATGTGTTTATACCACTATCGAAAAACTATTTAGATGGTATACATTTCACAGCCGAGTTGCTGACCGCCTCAGGGCTTTTTCATGGACGTGAATTAACAACAATTAAATGTACTTTGTTCGTTCAAATCAGCTTAAACAAAATCTCATGACACTTTTCTTCCCTACCAGCTAGTTTCGTCACCAGTTTTCTACCGTGCCCCCTTTACACTCGTTTTTATATTCTTTAGTGACGACTGATTACCCCCCCCCTCCCCTCTTCTCCCCTGTAAACCATGTGATCCCCCAAAAAATCCTCCGACACCTCCTGTCCTTATGTAAAAATAATAGGTAGCTGAAAAAAATATGACGCTAGCCTCAAGTAAGCATGAGTAGGAATGACAGCGGGCAAATGACGTAAGAGGCTAAACTGACCCAGTGGGAGGGAGAAGAGTTTCTCTCCTTACAATTAATATTTGACTTGCATTCAAAATCTAACCAGCGCAGCTCGCCTCCTTATCGTTTTTTTCCCCTTCCACTCACCTCTCATCGCACTGCTAAAAAAAATCAATAAATAAATAAATAAACAGATAGACAAATAAGAAGATATACAAGAAAAGTATGACATGGCATAGAGGCCGCGGAGGCTTGGAAAGCAATATCGACGCCTGGCTAAGTTTGTTTCTGAAATGGCGACGTTTATGGCTATTCTTTGGGGGTGTGTTGTTTCGATTGCTGCTTTGATTGCAGTAATTTTTCCAGTATTTTCGATTTACTTGACATACCTCCATTGGAAATATTGTCATCTACCTGGACCAAAACGGGACAGCTTTTTCTCCGGTAACTTGCCTTATATCTTAAGTGAAAGAGCGAAAGGACTAACTATATACGAGATCTCTGGTAAACTTCACGAAATTTACGGTCCAGTTGTTCTTTTGTTTGCCTACCATAAACCATTCACGTTCGTATCTGATCCAGAACTTGTACGAAAATGTATCATCACGCTCAATTTACCGAAAAATCCTGTCGTTTACGGGCACCTTGGATACCCGTTCGGTCAACGTCTAGCCGGACGCGGTGTGTTAAACGAAGTCGACCATGGCGTGTGGCAGAAGCGGAGGGCACTCCTGAATCCAGCATTTCATCGCCGCTACTTGATGAATTTAATGTCCTCGTTTAATGACAGCTGCAACCTGTTTCTGGAAAAATTGGATGAAATGGCTGACGGAAAGACTGTTGTGAATATGGCGGATGAATTCGCCAGAGTTACTCTTGATGTCATCGGAAAGGTACAGTAGTGAAACAGTGACATGGTTGAAGTCCGCTTAGAGTCAATAAGATTTGAAAAAAAAAGGAGGGGAAATGTCGCAGAATGCTTTATACCTGAAATGCAGAATAGTAAATGTGAAATGAGGAGGCTGAGTGTCTCTTCCACACTGTCTAAGTTGATAGCTGCATGGTTTTATTTATGTTATAGTGCATGTCAAGGTGGATCAATGTCGGTATCTGAGCAAATGTGTACCTACCCCTACCTTAACCCATCAACAGTGAACTGATAACAAGTTACAGTTACGTTGTGGGATTAATGTTGGGTTATGAATGAGGTACTAAGTGTGTAGTTGCTCAGATAATAACATTGATCCATAAATGCTAACCACAAACAAGCCATATTGGTGAATCAATACCCCAAAGACTTGTGGTTTGGATTCCAGGGTGAAAATTTGTTGTTGTTGTTGTTCTTTTTTTTTTTAAACTTGGTGTAATTATTGCTTTGTACTCTAATGCGTAAGGCACCTTAACATCACTCCACCCTGGCTGTTTGAAGGCTGTTTGGTACTCTGCTCACAGATACCTATGTACATGTAACTGTGCACAAAATACATTCTGTATCCATCAATCGGCTTGGTTTCATTCACAAATTTCAGTGAACCTTCATGTCCATTCAATTAATATAGAACGTTTAATTAACAAATCTATTATACAAGTACCTTTTCCTTTCCTGTCCATCAGTGGATGCTTGATTTTCTACTTGACAGTACAATTAGTCTCATGCCATTGTTTAAGGGTTGCAAGGTCTAACAATCATATTCTCTTGTACAACAGGTTGCATTCAATGTTGATGTCAATACAATCCAAGATGCTGATAGTCCCTTCCCATCCTCCATTTATAAATGTCTTAAAGGGGTCCTGGAAAGTTTGCGAACTCCATTCTGGAGAATATCTTTGTCAACATATGCTTATCAAAGAAGTGTGATTGAGGCAGCTAAATTCATCCGTAACTTTGGAAAGAAGGTGATCCTTGATAGACAGGGAGCTGTTTTACAAGGAGAAGATACACCACTTGATATTCTGGCTCACATTTTGAGTGTCAAGGAAAAGCAGTCAAGTATCACAAATGAAGATCTTGTGGATGATTTTGTGACATTTTTTGTTGCAGGTGACTTTGTGCATATATATTTACACAGTTGCTACTCAATCAAACAAGTTTGCTTGATGAAAATATTTTCCATTTATATGATTCTATTACCATTTAATGTACAGTAAAACCCCAAGCACAGACTATTGATGTTCTGGGAAAATTAAAGACTATGATACAATAGTAGATACCTGGTAAATTGAAATTTTAATTTGGACATTTCAGTGCCGCAGTGATATTAAAAAAGAATGAGTCTGACTACCTTAACAGGCTGTAAGAAACAAAAGAAAGGATACACTGTAGGATCCCTGTATGTCATAATTATATTTTAAGACTTAAAGCTTAAAACTCAAACTTTTTGTAACTAAAATGCTAAGATTTGGCACTTGTTTCTAAGTATCACTAGTCCTCTGTCAAATAATTTACAGAAAATGTACCATTCTTTGAATTTTTGGTAGCATCTGATTTAAGGAATGTGCCTCATGACACAATTTTTTAATGTTCACATGTGTAGTATTGATGTTGCTATACTTCTATTGCTGTCTAATGATAACTGTTTCCTTCAATTGCAGGTCAGGAAACAACATCTAACCAGTTGTCCTTCACTCTTTATGAAATACTGAGGCATCCAGAGGTTGAAAACAGGTATAATATAATTGTAATTTCTGCATTTATGGTAACATGCTTTGCTACCTATGAATAGAGGTTAAAACTTTGGGAAAGTTATAGAAACCTCTTTCTCAAGAAAAAGAAGATGTGTTCCATCACTGTGTTGCTTTACCCCTTTAACACCCAAGAGTGACTAGCATCTAATTTCTCTTGACACTAACACTTCTGAATTACAAATTAAGGTCATGAGAATAAAGGAAATGACCACCAGCTAGAGAAGCTCCTGACTGTTTAAAAAACTGTCTTAGCAGGCCTTAGGCAATGGTTAGAAAACGGTATGGAGACTGTGCATACGGTTGTTTATTGGGGCTAGGCAGCTGACTCTCTACTTCCCTTTTTACCCAGCAACAATGTCATCACAGACAAACATTTTTACAGCTTTCGTAGAGTTTTAGGGGAGGGGAGGCAAAGGGAGATGTACAGTTCTCATTATGTCAACTGTGCCAATAGTTAAACTTCCATTGTAGGTTGTTACCATGGCAAAAACCTAACCTGTCAGAAACACCCTTAATTAAATTAGTACATTTAATTCTCTTCATTTAAATACCACCTAGAAATTTTATCCATCTGAATTTTTCAGTACCAAATAAACTGAATGTTCCATTAACCCAACCAGATCCTTGATAAATTAAACCAAGTATTTCACTGGTAATTACACTATTGTAAACATTTGAAATTTTTATTATTACATTTTTATATATATTTATCTTTTCTATTTATTTTTGGTCTTTTAATTTATTTTTTTTTTGGCAGAATTGTTAAGGAAATTGAAGCCGTTCTTGGTTCCCATCAGTTTTTGGAATACAAGGATCTTGGCAACCTTCAGTTCCTGGGTCAGACTCTCAAGGAAGGTTTGCGACTTCACCCTCCAATCGGAGGCATAACGCGCATAACCACCAGAGATGAGAACATTGGGGGTTACATCTTTCCTGCTGGTACCTCTGTGAATATCAGTCAGTTCTTGATGCACCGCCATTTAGATTCATGGAAAGATCCACTTCAATTTGATCCTGACAGATTTTCACCTGAGGTAAAAGGTGAAATTCCACACTCTGTTTACTTCCCATTCTCTCTCGGCCCTCGGACTTGTATTGGACAAACATTTGCTCAGATCGAGGCTCGAGTGTTTATGGCGCGGCTGCTGCAGCAGTTTGAGTTGACACTCTGTCCTGGTCAGGATGATATGAAACACGAAGAGGCTTTGACCCTGAGGCCCAAAGGGGGTGTACTTTGTACTCTCAAACGAAGACACGAAAACTGAAGCAAACCAAGGAGACCCATGTGAATTAGGCAAAAGTAATTAGAGAAATTTTCAATTAAGTGACGAAAAGAATCGGTTTGGCGTTGGCTTTTCTTCAACTACGCCTGGTGATTGGTCTAGAAAATTAACGCCCCCATTTCAATCAATCAGATCCAATTGAAAACATATTTTCGCATGGTCACATCACAGCGGTCAAACGGCTGCGCATGTTGTTGTAGAAGCTAGGTGGCTTTATTTCAGGTGTTCAATACCAATTTTTCCTTTAAGAGTGATAGTGGTTGTTTCTTATGTTTTCTTTTGTAATTTTGCGCCCAAGTTTTGTTCACGGCCAGCTAAAAATCGATCCCCTCGCACATGCCCGACGTGTGACCGCTGTGTTCTTAGCCACACACGTTTTCCCGCGTCAGAGACTCTTTCCATGCGATGTTTGACATATTATTATACATTAATACATTAATGTCAATAACTTAATTTTCGTTGGCTCTAATATTTAAGTGTGGTTTGATTTTTGTCTTTGCTACGAGCAATTGGAAATTTTATATTAATAATGGTTCTATATAAGTCATTAATATTAAGTTATGTTTTTCCATTTGGCGATGGTTTTCATACAATACAATACAATACAATACAATACAATACAATACAATTATTTTACTAGTTTTTTTCCAAGTGGAGTTTCCACAATTAATTTACATCAATGTCACTTCACTCATTTGCTAAAAATTCGTTTACAATTATTACGATACAATTTCCGAAATTGTTAAAAACAACACAATAAAATAATTGTGAAATAAATTGATCCAATACCACATTTTCCAAACGAACATCATCTTTACGAACGCTTGGGAATATCCATAATAAACAATTGTCGCATTCGGTTTTTGCATTATAGCGAGAATAATCAAGGCCTTTGGCAAACACAGACCTCGGCCTTGAAATAGAATTCTCGCTATCATGCTTAACCTCATCCAATAATTGTTTACTGTTTAGCTTTAGGTGCTTCTTATCCTTGTTCTCACAGGCTGTTGTGATTGGACCAGAAAACTAAGGCCACTGTTTCAACCAATCAGATCCCATCGAAACCTTTTTTTGACCTTGACACATACGTTATTTTTCCGCGTTGGAGACTATCTGCTTGTGATGAACTTTGAGTTCGTAGTGTAAATCACGTGGTGATGCTTACTTTTGTTCTGCTTGGCCTCAGTGATTATGTAAGTTTTATATTTACATTGTATGCTAGCAACAAAAAAAAAAAACCTCCATTTCACAATTTTCTTACTCGAGATAAAAGCTTGAAAATAAAACTAAAATAAATCTCTCCTTTCAAGGAATCTGCTGAATTACCTACAGTTAGATTTCGTCAAGTACGAAGTAGTCTACCCAATTTTATTTTATCATGTCATTTGTTGTCATTACATATCAGGGGCCTCAAAAACTGTTTCCATAAGCGGTTGGCGATGGTGCACTTGGCGGCTGAGCCCGGAAAAGGGGCCGTAAGTCAAAATTAAACCCAAACAGACAGAGGTCTTATGGGCAGCGTTAGACCGCCGTTAGCCGCAGCTTTTACTAAAAAACCCTAGATGTCTAAAAAATATTGTTATTATAATAAATTTTGTGTTATGGAATCGTATCAAAAAGAATACAATTTATTGACAAGAGTAGCTCTCTACTTTCTGGTTGCACTAATGAATGTTTCTCTAATTTTGTCATTGTTAAAACTAGAGGACAGGTTTGACTTTTCCTCCTATATTGTAATTGCAGTTTGCTTTGTGGCAGGACCATAAAGTTGTTTCCTCTTGGACTTTACCGGTTACTCAAATTGCATTTCATTTTTGTTTGAATATCAGCAGACATTTCATTTATCTTAGATTCAGCGATTTACGGAGACAACTAGTCTTTGTGACATTATGAGCTTCTGTTTACCCTTTTCCCATTAGCAACCCAAACATGGGCACAAAAATACACACTTTGAAATTTATTACAGTTGAAAAAATAAGCCTATTATGACAATTTCAGCGCCGCATCGAAAAGACAATCTAATTCTAACTCGGAACAAGATGTCTCCGCAAGACCTACTTTGTTGTCCGAAAAGTATGGATTAGTAGGCGTAAGTATCCAATATCGCTTACTAGATTCTTTTTAAATTCTTAAGAAGTATTTAGATTTACAGGCAACAGCCACCACATCACATTAAAAAATAAAACTGAGCGCAAATCATTTGAAGCTGAACTGAAGAGAGAATATTGAAGCCATTTCAGTGCACAAATGCATACATTTCGTTTGGATGAGGTGTTAACGCCAAAAAGTTTTAAATGATTCTGTTGCTAGTTTGAAACAGTTTAATGGAGGACTTCTCGATTCTTCAGACCTTACTCGAGCCATAGACTCGGCAAATATCCAAAATTGAAATTTGTCACTTTTTTCCTTCCTTCTTGAAATGCCCTTGATTTGTGTGAAATCCAAACTGAATGGAAGCAACAAAGAAGGTGAGATACAATTTTGCAGTAGTGTTACTGAAAGTAACGGATGAGGGAGATTTTTTTTTACTTAGCAAAATTAGAATCTAAATTCAAGGATTTAGGAGTTATGTATTAAAGAAATGATATTTCCATGACGATCAACAAAGGAGAGTTGAAGATAGCGGAAATTTGTGTCAGTAAGGAGAAATTTAGATATCAAAGAATGACGAGCAGAGAGATTACTAGATATTTCTGTTTGACTTCACACGAATAAAACACGAAAGCGAGGACAGAAATAGAAATTTTCTTTGAAAAGCAATGATTTCATCAGATTAGATTAGCAAAAAGAAATTTTTTTAAATTTATTCGGATGACTGTTAATTATTCGAAAGGGAAGACAAAATGTATATTTTCGCAGAAAGTAACGACATACGTTGAGATTCTTCCTAGGTTTTTACCACTTTCCTAGTGCAATGAAGAGACTAGGCTTTCCCTAGGCACTTCCTTAATAGGACGAAAATCTTGTTTTCAAATTTTTTAGAGAAATTTCTTAAGATTTTTACTTTGTCATAAGTCTAGCAAAATCTTTCCAGCCTCGTAGTAATGTGATACGAGTTCACCGAATTGAAGTGCGTTTCCCAGGAACCTTGAAAAAAATTTTCAGTATCATACTGAATATTTTTTTTTGAGTTTTGTCCATGCGATTGCAATTTTCTGAAGTTACCAGCTTCCTCTGAAAGATACATAAAAAAAGTGCCTGATCGATGTTCAAAGGTACCTGGCCAAATTGTTTTATTTGTGTTTTATCCTTTATTTCAGTGGGTAAAGAGTACATACAAAAAAAAAACCAGTGAAATAACAAATCTATATATACACATATGTTTTCGGTGAAATTACAGTTAATTGTGATATTGTTCTGTTATGAAGTTTATTCGAAAGTATTTTTGAATCCAAAAAGGGGCATTCTGTATCATAAACGTGGTTCCAATGAAAAAGCAAACACTCATGGCTTGCATTAGCTTAGGGGGGATTTTGATAAAGTACGCGAAAATGAAAGGCAAATAAGGAAATAAAGACAGTTTATACAAGTGAAAAGTTATACTTACTTAAAACAGAAATGTTCACAGACTTGAATGCCAGACCACTTATTACAATTTATGAGTTTTTGGAGAAAAAAAATTGAAATATGACATGAGCTTGGATATGGAAACCATGTAGGGAGAATGTTTTTTACAATAAGACTAAGTGCATCAGGTAAAGGAGCAACTGAATATTAACAAGAGAGAGGCTATCTCGGTTCTTCTCAAAGAACGAGCATGTTTTTAAAAAGTGATTTAAAATAGTGGGGGTATTTATTTTCTTTCCAACAGTTTGACACTGACTATGAAAATGGGATAGCAAGCTAGGAATATGACAGTAATTGTAAACACATCGGTGAGGTAAAACGATTTTGCAATGTCATGTATGAAGTAGTTATTTTCAATGTAGCCCCGTTTTTCACTATCACATGAAAGATCAATGACAGCCGCCTTCTCATAAGAAGAAAGACTTAATTCATATGTTTGAAAGGGATAATAACAAAACAGTTCTTTAGGATACAACGAGTGCCCTGATTGGTCAAAAACCAGTCGTTTATTGCACAGGTGAACCCGAAACATTTTAAGTTTATTTTACAAAAGCAATAAACCGCACTTCCTACCTATTTACCTTCGTCATAATCCAGTTAGGGTGTGGGGAGAACGTTATAGATCATAAATTCTCATGTTCTTCCAACATCCCAAGTGGGTTATTACCCCAGTAAACCAATAGGAAGTGTGGTCCATTGCTTAAATAACAAGCATTCCTTCGCCCGAAATATGTTCGACATCGATGTCGTTGCGTGCAGGTTCAACGTCTACTTTATCCTCAAACGGTTAGAACACAATTTCGTTTTTTTCAGAAGACTAATTTCTAACGTTTCACGTTATCTTATAGCATTATAGCATCTCCAATGTTGAGACTTTTATTCAAGGATGATATATTATTTCTCGTAGACACTATTTCCTCATGAACAGTTGATGAAACATCTTATCTTCTCTCTGTTGTATCTTTAATAGGATGCCCCTTTTGCAAACGATAAAAATTCCCTGTTGGATATTGTATAGCTTATTTTTCACAAACTATGGATGCAGCCAGTCAAATATGTGCGCAATAAAGCCATGTTCAGTTAAACAATACAGCTTTTCCAGAGAGAGAAACAGTGTGGAGAATCACGCCCTTTATGACCACAGTTTTAAAAACCTGACAGTGCAGAGTCACAAGGACTGTTTTGAGAACTGTGCGTGGGACTGTCGATGTAAGTCGTTCAACTTTGTAACAAGAATGAAGCAGAAAAACTGTCACCTGAATGAACAAGACAGATATGTGGAACCTGGGGCATTGAAGAAGACAATTGGATTTAGCTATCACGAAATAGGAATTGAGTATAACATCAAGGTATGATATACACATTTCTGTTTTGATTTCGCAAGAATGAAAGCAAATGCAATAAAGGAATTTTCCTTTCCGGTGGGAGATGAGGTGGCCCATATCACGGTTAAAGGGGTAAGTTTCTAAAGAAACTGTGGTGCTGCGTCGGTGGGAGAGTATAGCAGGTAATTTAGTGCCCTTCGTCAGAACGATTCAATCGCTCTGACGAAGGGCTAACGCTCGAAACGTCAGCTTTTTTACTCTTTACGGTGGCTAATTTACGTTTTCAACCCAGTTGTTAACACTAAATTACCTGCTATATCACGGTTAGTTCGCTGGACTTCGGGTTGAGATGTCTGGGTTCGAGACCTGGCCAGGTCATTGTGCTGACCTGGCTAGGTCTCAAACTTCTTTTTCATTGTAAAGTCAGGAACCAAATGCCTACAATGCCACAATGGATGCTGTCGTGGAAATATTCACTGTCTCAACGGTGGAACCTGCCAAGAAACCTGTGACAGAAGGAGATTCAGATGTGCGTGCAGGCCTGGCTACACAGGAAACTACTGCGATAAAAGAGTGCAAGGTAAGAATGGAGGAATGGAAGCTCGTTGCAAACAGATTTGATATTTTACCACGTGATAAAAGAGCCAGATCTTAGATCTTAGCAACCACTGATTATCTATTATTATGTCGTTGCTAGCAGAGTATAAATGGGGGACCATGAAAATTGACTGTCCGTAAGGGCGGATAATTAGAATCTCACAGAGCCTTAGGGGATTAGATAAATTAAATCTCCGCCCCTCCTCCTCCCCCTCCTCCCCCACGGGTAATATAATGACCGTTCCCTTGATAGTGTACCGGCATTTCACCTCAAGTCCTCGAAACGAAAGGATAAACTTCGAATAACACATAAAACAAAAATGACAATTATTTTTCATTCATCAATACATTTCCATAATTAAGAGTATTGACTTTTGTCATGTAACCAATTTTTAGATTAAAATTTAATGTTCTTCACGTAGGTGTCATTTTGTATTGACAGTCACCGGTAATAACCCTTTACACCCTAACATCAATATGTATATTCTCCATACGGTTCTCTAGACATTTACTAAGGTGCTGATAAGGAGAATTTGTTTAATGATCAGGAGATTATCTAATTGGCGATCATTTTCTTTATTCTCGTGACCTAGACGTGTGATTCATGGGTGATACTGTTAGGAGAAATTAGATACTAATCACTCTAAGGGCTAAAAGGGTCCATGTAAAATAATTTCACTCTGTAACTTTTGCTTCAAATGTCAAAATGATTTTCTGTTCATCTTTCTTCCATGAAGTTTCAATTTCTAAGAGCTGCGCAGAAATAAAGAAGAATGGTGGTCAATCAGACGGTGTTTATACCATTGATCCAGATGGTAAAGGAGCCTTTCAAGTCTATTGTTATCAGAATTACTCCGCCGGAGAACCCTGGGCTGTCATTCAGAGGAGAATGAACGGCTCGGTTGATTTTTACCGCGGTTGGATGGACTACAAGAAGGGGTTTGGTAATGTGCAGGGAGAATTCTGGCTTGGACTTCTAAACATCCACAGGTTGACCAATCAGCGACAGCATAAGATGAGAATAGAGATAGAAAATTTCAATGGGAATTGGTGCTGGGCTGAATACGAAAACTTTACTGTGAGTGGAGAAGATGATGGGTTTCGTCTGCAAAGTTTGGGATCTTACACCGGTAAATGATGCTATAGCTTTCCTTCTCACCAAGATTTGCTACTGACAAGTCCACAGTCAGTCTTGAACCGTTGAAAGTCATTACACTTTGTCACTAATAAGGAAAAGGGGAAATGTTTTTTTAATTAACGTTATAAATAGCTGGGTAAATGCATTCTTGTCAGGGTTGTACTATTTTGTGATTTCACTAGTCCTTATGCAAAGGCATTACTTTATTTAATTACAAAAATATCAAGCCGAGAAGATTCAAGCGTTCTCTTTAAACGTCTTGTAAAGGTAACCCCTAACTCGACTGTGGCTTCCCTGGAATACTGTGATTTCATTTCCTCAACCTGTTGCTTTCACTCTTCTGGAGCAGAATTTAGAAATAGGATACCCACGTGAATAGAATTCGCAACATAGGATTAGTTACTTCCAGACTCTCCTGGAAACGATCAACGAAAAAAAAGAGAATGGTATCTCAAATTGAATCAAAATGAATAAAGTTAGAAACTGAGGCCAAAGGCTCAACCATCTCTCACCAAGTACCCTACTCACTGTTTTTTTTTTTTTTGGTTTGTACGTAAATTTGCAGGTTCATGCATAGATGCGTTTTCATACAATGTTGGTGCTCCCTTCTCTACCAAAGATAAAGATGCAGATAGTAATGCGAATAGTAATTGTGCTGTGGATCATCAGGGAGCCTGGTGGTATAAAAATTGTACGTACTGTAATTTGAACGGAAAGTACAACCTCCAACCTGGTCAGGAAATTACAGGAATATACTGGTACCAGAACAATGGAACACCAGATCGCCTTATTAAATGGGTCGAGATTAAAATACAACCCTTCGGATAAATCTATATATTTGGGCGTCAACATTGGTTTATCAGCCGAGTTCTCGGCGAACGGTACAATTCCATCCTTAGCTGAGTTAAAGGGACAAATTCAGAGCCCTGAAGAAAGTTTAAGCAGTGATTGTGATCTCCTGTATTTGCATGCAGAATATCACTCCACACAAAGAGTCTGTCTTGATTGACTCTGCAAAGTAATTAATGAAATTGTGGAGGATTTTAGCGAAATACTGTAACACTGAGGGAAAATTTCTAAGTTTTTTCAAAAACCAAATTGGTAAAATAAACAATTTCACGATGAACAATATTCGTCACGTGATTTTTTTTCGGATAAGGGACTTAATATCCCTAAACGCTTGGAAACGTAGTAATTGTCATGGTAATATTTGAAATAAATCTTAAATTATTTTTGTTTAACAACTATCAATAGGGCTTCAACATTTATTCCTTTCTGAGCGCCACGCAGGATACGGAAATGTTATATATATCTGTGTGTGTTTGTATATCAGCTTGTTACCGAAGGGAAGGTGGCTAATGTCCGATTTTAGACACTTCGACGTTTCCGAGTATTTTTAGTGTTTTGTTGTTAGTAACTGGTTTTTATAATTCATTCAGAGTTGCCCCAATCCTGGGTTAAGAAAATCTCTATTTAGTATCTTTCTTAAGCATTTATTGTATAACTGAGGATATTTTTTATCTGTACACCTTTCAAATCCATTACCACTGCGACAAAAACGAAAAACAATATTTCATGTTTTGCTGTGAGTTAAAGCCTGAAAACTTTCACTAAAACAACCACTTCCCACTGGTTTTAGCAATTTTGACCCTCGTTTAAGCGGTTTCTTCAGCCAGCTATGCATGGGTTTTTCACCAAAATATTCATGAAATGTTCCGAACTTGATTTCTTCGTCACTCTCGCTTGAGTGCTCCTGTTCAATTGAGCCAGAAGCTTTCCCCGTTTTAACTCGTTCCGTTTTCAATGCTTGTGGCAAACTTCTGACAGACATTTCAGAGCGTGAGCGAGAGACATTTGGGCTGTGTGCGTGTGAAATATGATCAGGGCTTAATAAGCTTTTCTGCACTCCTGTAGGGTTCACAGGTAACTCACCTAACGGCCAGGATAGCGATGAAATAAGTTGTCGTCTATTGTTGACGCAAGTCGAAGCACGCCTTTTAGAATTGGGTTTTCGCCCATTGTTATCTTTTTTAATCAAGTGTGGATTAACAGTTTTCTCTGTGGCTGGAAATAGTAATTTCAAAGTGTCTTCTTTTTCATTAATTGCCTCTGAGTGTTCAGGCATGACCAGCCGCGAGTTTGCACTGAGTTCTGTCTCATGCATTGACATCGACCTGAATCTGGAATCAACAACTTTGGGTTCCAATCCTTGGCACAATTTCTTGTTTTTCAAAACGCGTTTGAAAGCCATATATCCCAATGCGATTGTGCACATTGAGTTAGAAATACGAGGCTCCTCTGAAGCGCTGCGGAATTTGGAATTGTGTTCTCTCTCGGTTCTCTGAGGTAGTGCCAATCGTGGGCATTCTGCCTCGGTTTTCGACGACCCTTGGAAAGACCAACTCTGCGACCTCCACTTAAACTGCGCGGAACCTACTGCAGTATCCTGACTTGTGGAGTTAACGAGTTTGGCTTTCCATCCCTCCAATGCTTCTATTTTGGGTTCAGTATGTCTTCGTCTTTGTTTTGTCACGTTGCTCTGAGTTTCAGCTCTTTGCAACAATCTAGGCTGGTATTTTAAAGATACAGTCCTATCTTTTCGCATCCCATCGCTTTCATGTGCACGATTTTTTGAGTCCAGTTTTGAAAGATCAGGCTGATTTCTTGCAAGTCTTGCTTGATTTTCTTTGATAACGTAGAGTGGTTCGAACACGCGATGAATCGATTTGAGCTCGTTCCATATTTTAACTTTCTCATGATAATTTGACTTGATGCTTTTGTGTTTATCTCGCTCTATTTTGTCGCTTATCTCGTCTAGACGCACCTGGGCTGCTCGAGCAATCCGCATGGAGCTTGTATTTCTATGCAGACTGTTTTTCTTGTGCATGCTAGACAGTTAAATCTGCAGGCTTCCAAATCTGTTTACTTTTTGAAACCTTTTCCATAGCGCTAACAATTTGCATGCACTTAACAAAAGTATTATCCATTATGTTGCTTGGGCATTTGTTTTGACAAGTAATTAGCTATTTGCTCAAATCGTTGGATATTTTTTATTGCCAGCATTGATCTAGCTCTCTTCGTCAAAAGCAGCTTTCCCCTGACAAACTTTATTGAAAAACCAATTTCCCTACTGAAGTTATTAATCTGCGATGCACAGCATTTGATGAACTGTAGTGTCTTCCACAAGCTTTATCGTCGACAATAACTTAATGTGTAAACATAATTGATTACATGAGGCGCCACCCTTGTGTATATTCGTGGGTGATTAGGCATCCACATTAACTACCATTGTTTGGCGAGGGTAATGCTATTAACGGGAATCTCTTAAGGGACAGTTTGCGCATGTCAGCTAGCCATGTTATTTACGTCCAGACATCAAGTACAATGATGCGGGAACAAAGGGAATTTGAACGTTGATACAAGTAACTAGAAAAAACACTTTACCTAAATACGGTAACAAAAAATACAGCTTAAGGTTAGTAAACTTGTAGCTGTCAAAATGTAAGTCTTCTTACAAGTTTTGAGACCATGGAAACGAAATGTATTCACTTTAATTTTTGGTTGAACTATCGCAACTTGATTTAAAGTGAGCCTGGATCTCAGAATCCAGTGGCGGGAATGTAAGAGCACCTTTTTAGTGCAATCTTAGTGTTTGATCGATTTTGTGCGCGTGGGTGTGTAAAGGCAGTCGCTTTTGTAGTTTATGTTTTATCGTTCCCGCGCACTAGATACCAGTTTTTCTCCGAGAAGGAGTCACGCCTAACTAGTGAGTCACGTGTTTTCTTTATTGTTCCGAACGAAGTCGAACCTTGACCTTTAGGAGCTTATTTCGCTCGCTTTTCTTGAGACTTCTTATAATATTTTGTGGTCGTATCGCGCTAATGTCACCAGTCCTTCATGGTAATCGAGCGAGAACGGGGCCGCATTGAGCGACGGGAGGGGAACTAACATGGAACCGCTAGTTAGGCTAGGTCTGAATACGATACATTTTCGGTAGAATGAAGGACTAGGAGCACCGCCAGTCGCTCAAGACACGTGAAATGTTACTGAGTCCTTTACAGGTTACCTCTGTATCTATCAATTTTTCTGGCACTAATTCAAATTCCAGGCTGGAGGGTAAAAAGAGAGTTTCCAGGTGAAAAATGTACACGCAGAATATTAGCAACAGGAGAAAGAGCAAATGATTTTCCCCGATTATCTGTTCAGTCTGATCATCCAAGCGATACATTATAGGCCATACAATAGACACTAGGAGGAGAAGATTAAATTCCATATTTATCAAAATGTAGAAAACGGCTATCGGAATAAGTGCGATCAGCGTTGAGTTTCAAATGTAAACTTAAATATATAATTTGCCTTCGGGGTTTCCGTTCTCAGACCAAGTAACTTTGGATGATTCCACGTTGTTGTTTCGCAGAGGATGGCTAAGAAATGTACAGAGCCGTTTAAGACGCACGTGCTGAGCTATTATTTAGCCGCGTCCTTGTTACCGTCGCCGTCGTGATTTGCTTAAGATCCCTAATAGCCTAACGAGTGCTTGCTGACTTAAAATCTCCGTTCCGACGGCTTCTTTTTTTCTTGTCTTTTTTTTTTTTAATTATGCACTGTGTATATGTCCGGATTGAATTCATTGAAGGAAAAGCATTGATCACCTGATCATAAAAAGGCGATAGATCACCTTATTTTCGCTTGATAGAAAATGCCTCTAAGTCTCTCACTCTAAAGAGATTTAAACGTAATCTGTTTCACAATTTCAAAACATGAATGGAATGGCTCAATTGTGATTTTGGATTTTGGGATTAACGCTTGTCGCAGTTTTAGGCAGCGGTAGTGTTAAAGAGATAGCGCTCTTGCAATGACTGGGCAGTATCCTGTTTAGTGGTGACAGATGTTAATTTAGGCATATAGTTTACACTTTCCTCTGGAGAAAAGAGAAAGTTCTCTAAAGTACTTGATCCTTAGCTCCGGTCAAAACCAGACATAAATATTAAAATATAGTAGCAGACGACGGTCTCATTAATCTAAATCAGTAACATAAATAACGCAAGATTTACTGAAGCTTTAAGCGTCTATCATTATTTTTTTTTCAAGGAAAAAAAAAATAATATCAAGAAACTTTCGTCAGACTGAGGCAAAGGGATGACAAAATTTACGCCGAGTCTCTGTTAAATCATTTTCTTTGGATTTTACATTCGTTACAATATATGGTGATAATTGACATGTCCTCAGGTTTTTCAGCCATTGGCTGCGTAGCTAGTTGCCGGAGGGTAGAACTATCATCAGCTATCGTTAAATACACAACCATCTTATCTGGGTAACAGAAGCTAGTAGTTGCCTATCAACATAATAATTGTGGCCAAGAAGGACAACTCCGCTACATTCTGGTCTCAGTTACATCGCAAGAGCCACTTTCCTCAAGCTAAATAACCAAACGAACACATTTAGACTAGTATAAGAGCATGGGCAAGAAAGCTGGACAGATGCCCATAAAACAATCTGTTTCTCTCTTTCTCTGGGATCAGCTTCTCTGTGATCGTATTTCGCTTCATTAAGTTTTCTCTCTTCAACGCACTCCTATATAATATAATCGTGTCAACTGTTTTCTACGATCGAGGTCAATGAGATTACCACTTGGCAAAGGTGACTGCTTTTCCCTCCTAAAGTTACTGTTGCTAGCTGTTGTCTTCAGGGCCTTTAAGGGCCGCTGCAAGTGGATACGGAACCAAAGAGAATTCAAAATCTCTATGAAAAGTGAAAATGACATACTGGATCCTTTTATTTTTTTGTTAAGTAAGCCATTTGAAAGCAATACACACGCACAGTCTCATCGCGTGGAAATCCTGCACGCAGGCGTGCAATGCGTGGAGAGTGGGCAGAAAGCAACGGCGATGACAGCTGGTTTAATACTTCTTTAGTACCAAGATATTAGCAAGAGAAATGAAATGATAAGAATTTTAATTTCTAGCCTTATTGTGCCACTGAGAGAAGAAACAAAAATGTAGAAAATACTCTAATGCACTGGTGGCCGTTGGTGTTTATGTTGTCTGGAATTACCCCGCTTCAAACGGTCTCGAGTTAAAAGCACCACGGCATCGAAAAACATTTTAGACAAGA